AGGTCAGTAAGATTAGAAGTAGAGGTGGTATTACTTCCAGTTTGAGATAGTTTCAAGATGATCAAGAAATCCAGCGTGTGTGCAATGTAACTTTAACTCAGTTAAGGGTTGGAAAATAATCTTGAAAGTACTTGCACCATAAATACTTGTAAGAAAAGTTGAAAAGTCATTCATTTCCTTATTTTTTTCATTCAATGTTGGATGTTTTCTTTCATTTTCTTTACTGAATGAGTTTCCACGTTGACAAAATTTTAACCACATCAGTAAAATCATCCTCATGGATAGTTGAAGGAAAAATATCTCAAAAACAACCTTGAATTACACTAGTTAGGTTACGAGAACAGGAGGAGGAATACCATTAAATCAGTCTTCTTGGTAGGAATGTTAAAATCAGGCTACCTTGTACTTTGATATTTACTTTATCTAGAGAGGAACAGTCGTTCGGATGTGAACTAGTCTTTAGACTTTCTTTTTAATAATGCATGCACAGGAACGAATACTTTTTTCGTTGACTAATTGATTTTGCGCCAAGAAAAAATAACAACCTATTCTCGTCTCAGCAAAACAAGGAAGAGTCGAGCAAACAAACAAAAAATCAATTTCGGTGATAAATTTGGGAGTAGATCATAGAATACCTCTACATAATTAGGCGGTATATCAGTAAAGAGTAATTAAGACGTAGGCGCGGTGCTTTTATATTTTGTTCACAGTCTCAAGTCAATGATAGATCAAATGCTTTCTGATTTACTTTGGTCAGATTTTATTTTACCACATGGCATTTTTATGTCCTTCACAATTACTTTAAATCATTTTTTTTTAAAAAATATTTTCAAAATTAATGGCTACCTTTTGTTCTCTAAAATTTATATCACAGGATGTAAGGCACAAAAGGGATTCAATAGCATACATATCTTCAAACTCTTCAAAAATGTATTTAGACTATAAATCAGAGACACATTTGCAATTAAACAAACTCGAACTATCAATACAAACTGATCCAAAAGTCCCCCTCCACCCCCAAAACTCCTTGAGTTCTTGCCTCTTTTCAGGGTGATCACCCGAAAATTTTGGAGGGTCCCGAAAGTCGCTTTCTATGAGCTAGGGGCACTCACAAAATTTCAAGTCTCTATCTCAATTTGTTCTTGCCGGTGCAAGACTTTTGGATCATACTGTATATTAGGTTTACTTATTAACTGGCTTTTACTTTGAAATATGATAAGGTAGATTGATACACTGACGCATTAGACACCTATACTTTTTTTCTTTTTTTTCAAAATATAAGACATTTAAGTTCTGTGATTGAGACATTTAGGAGCTAGGAGAAAATGAGATCGTGTATTATCAAAACTTGAATTTTTTTTTTTTTTCAATTTTGATGGAAATTTAATATAATTGTAAAAAGCATCAGCTTCGTATAATTTGGTTGCAACCCTTCATACTTAAATCAATGAATCCAAATACTGAGTTCGGGTCCCCTTGAACTACATAAATCTCGTAAGATGAGTTGGAACAATTGTTGATAATTCCCTTGAGAATCTGTAAAAAAAGGGCCAAAAAGATGGCCTATGCCCGAACATACTGTAGACCTTTAATTGATAAATCAGTCAGAAAATAAGTACCAAACTATATAAAATTGGTCCCATAATGAGGGGAAGAGGATATCACGAAAAGAGTTATGCCTCTTTCGCTGTTATCTTTACATCTTCTTTCTTTAACATATCTCCTTTTTTATTGGTTTCCTTAAGAGACAAAAATTATAAAAATTTAAAATGCACCTAGCAGACTTATCGGAATGACAAAGGAATCATGAGTACCTACGAGAAACATAAAATCATGAGATCGGAGACTGGATTCTATTCGAAAGAATAATCAGTTGATTTACTTGACTTGTGGTTGGCAGCAATTCAATATTCTGTTACCTAATCAATAATTTCACGAATTAAATTTTTCAGAGGAGCATTCTCATGCTATTCATACTAACATAGCAAAAATTGTTCACATGAAAAACGCATACCTACTTAATGCACAAGTATCTTGAAACACCAAATTTCCCATCATGTCAACTGTAAAGGGGAAACATTTTTAATCACGTATTGTGCAGGAGTTTCACAAAAAACATAATTTTTTATTTGACAAAGAAAAATGACAACATACACACACTTATGGTCATAAATATTTTTAGAGTAGCTCATGGTCGGAAAGATTAGATGATGCACATGATCATTGATGAATGATGTCAGTTGAAGTTGATAAGCCGTTCAAGTATTACGTAAGCAATTTTGGCCGACTTTTTGACTCCCCATCCCCCTCTTTACGGTATCCATAAAGCAGCTTTTCACCCCTTTTTTGAATTACGTACGTAAGACTGGTCTGACCTCCATCCCCCAAATTTGTCATAGAGTAATGGAGAAAGCGTAAAAATTGCTTACAAAAATATGTTTTTAGAGAATTTTATTTCTTAAAGTGGGAGGCCCTAGTAAGACTGAAGTTAATCCCCCTTGTAAGACCAGGTAAAAAAAGCTCAGACCCCCCTACCCTTAATGTTGCTTGCGTCATACTTGAACAGCGTCAATAGAAATGAATGAGAAAGAAAAAATCATTCCACAAAGGCAAATTTTAAATTAAGAAAGAAACACAAAAATAAAAACATTGATACTAAAAATTTACAAAATATTTAGATAAATATTTACAAGGTATTTGGAATACAGCCGTCTGAAAATTATCTATATTAGCTAAATCTATAAATTTTAAGCTCAACTTAATCTAAAAATCCAATTGCAGTGCATGAGCCCATCTTTTCAAGGGTATTAGATGTACCTATTTAATTTTCTGGAGTTTGCAACCTCTGATGAATATTTCATCAGATTCATCAGAAAAAAATACATCTTTAAAAATTTTTGCAGCGCATGCTTTATCTGTCCGTGAGAAAATAGAAAATTTCTTTATCACCCTCATCACTTTAGAAGTAATTTTTCCATAAAAAAATGAGTGGGGTACAAGGACTGTTCACAGTAATATTAAAAAAAAGATGAAAATAGAGAAAGAAAAAAAGAGAGAAAAATACCAAAATAAATCTTTCGAAGGATGATTAGAAAAGTAACTAGTGTTATTAGTAATCTGTTGGGGGAAAATCAAGCTATAATAGTCAGTTTAATCATCAGTCCTCCTGAGAATACTCAGTTTAAAGTCAAATTTAGAAGACAATGATAACACGCCATTTTTCTGTGTACCTAAAATAGAAAATAGCAGATAGATACTTTACAACTCCGGACTCAAAAAATGATTCTATGAAGTATAAAAGTCATTAGATACAAACAGAACTCTTTTTTTCAAAATGAGAGGATTCATTATTAAGATCATTAAACTGAAGGTCAGGGGGAGCTCTGATTGATTTTGTATTTCTCCATCAGGATGTACTTTGGCACATTTACAAGTTTATTCTTCTTTCAATGAATCAAGTAAGATAAATAAATTCTTCCTTGCTCTGAGCTACAGTTTATTCCACAAAAGAAGAAAGTGTCTTACAATTTAGCTGAAGAATAAAATATTGAAAGATAGAAAATTTGAAGTAGATACCTACTGAAGGTCTATTAAATAAAACAATGGAGAAAAGACGGAAGAGTTAAAATTCAAGCTAAAAGCGCAACCAGAAATGCATACTTCAAACAGTAGAACGAGAATGAGTTCAACTTTTCCTGAGACCCATCCATATTATATTTTGTAGGAAAATTTTAAGGTAATAAGAGCGTAAAAGACATAATAGAGGGCGACTCTTGTAAGTTAGTGAAAGTTAGTAACACTGGACTCCTGCCATTTAATAGTATGTAAATCAATCAATATCAATTTAATAAAAGAGTGCCTCACATGGAATCAATTATTTCTTATGGAGCAGGAGAAACAATATCTACTGCCAACTTCCGAGATTTGCCCCTGAAAGCTAGCAAGTCTAAAAATGCATTATTGGCTGACTTAGGTATTCAAATTTAAATGAATTGATCGTCACGAATTTTACATGAATGGTGGCTGTTTGGCAGGCTCATGAAAAATTTTCGTCTGATACCACTAGATAAAGTAAAGAAAAGGACAGAGTGTAGATAGTATGCACAATTCTTTGGTAATTTCAGAACGAGAAGTTCCGGAAAAATGAAATTCACATTCACCAGCAAAGGTGATAGGATAATCATAAACAGAAGAGCTTCATTTATCCTTTTATTTATGGCGGAGATCCATGCTGGACGCTTGAAAGAAAAAAACTGAAAATGCCCCAAAAATGATAACAATAACTCAGAACATTATAGATACTCGATGTGCATGCAGGAAAAAATTGGGCAAAGTGATACCAGATATCCTCAAGATACATGATGCATTGGCTGACTGAGGGTCAGATAAATGAACTCTACTTGACAAACATGCGAAAAAAAGTAAAAATTACGTAACTTGTTAGAAATTGTGGCTCATTTAAGATTTTTCAAGCTCCAAATAAAATATAATGCACCTATTCTCTCCCTGCCATTAAGATTGCACACTTCATTTATGGAAAAAACTGGGGACAGTTGCCGACTTGATTGCCTCTGTATGTTAACGAGACACTAGAGGTTTGATATTCAGGAACTCAATTTCATAAATAAGAAACCTCTTTTGAGTAAATGGAAAAAAATCAGGAAATGTACATACAAGTCAAAGGGTTTTTAAAAATTAACTTTTTTTGACTGCAAAAAAAGTTTTAAAATTGTAGATTTCAATTAACATCGGCATTGGAAGGAACAGAATATGAGAATAATGCAGTTTATAGTACTCACTGCGCAAATGTAAAAGTAAACTCTGTGTCTACAAAAACAGTTAGAAAAGAAATTCGCTAAAAGAAAAAAATTATAACAATAATAACTCTAGATTTGCTAAAATAAATTATTGACAAGAATTAACAAAATCTTAAAATATTTAATATGTAAAAAAAATAACATACTTTCACAAATAAAGTAAGTTTTTTTCTTTTTTTTAAATTTTTTTATATTTTAATGGAAAACAGAAAAATATCGTACAAATGATTTAAAATGCAACATAGTTTGAAACTCAACCCAGGATTAAGATCAAATAAAAATAATAAATAATTTATGTATAAAACTATCTAAAAATAAATTCAAAATAGAGACAATTCTTGAGTTTTCACATCAGACGCACAACAGCAAACAATGTACATATTGCAACTGAACTCTGAAAAGAAGAAAAAACAGACAATTAGTAAAATAATATTACAAAATTTTGTAATTCAACAAACGTATATATTTTGCTTCGAGACTAATTTTCTTCTAGTTGCCATTGTTAAATTTGTGGCTGAAAATACATTTAAAAAGTTTCAGATTGACATTCCTTCATCAATTTGCCCACTACATGGCTACGAATAAATTTCTCAGCATTGAGCTTAATCACAAGATGCCGCATTCAAAAGTGAACAAGACAAAATTGAAAAATTCTGCATAATGTCTTCACTACTGCATGGTTAGGCATTTAAAAACGAGAGACCAAGTACCTGAGAGTCTCTTCAGGTGAATCCACGCAATGATTGAGAGGGTGCATCAGCAAGAAAACTTCGACAATAAGCACCTCATTTGAAAGTAATTCTGTAAGCTATGGCAAAAATTTCGTTCATAATACTGTATTACTACTATGTTAAGAAAGAATATCATGAGAGCCATTAGACATTGTCTTTCTTTGATAAATGTATCAAATTTCCAGGAAACCTACGCATATTTTTCCTTCAATTTTTCAGAGAATTTTACTCGGAAACAGATCTCAATTTTTTGAAGAGATAATATTCATTCACAAGTCTCCTTAAAAAAATAAGCATTTCATCTGAGGAATAGGCAACTCTTGAATGCTCATGCGGCGTTCCTCCTTGGCATGGCAGAATACGGCTTGAATTGAAAGAAAGCACTCATCAATGATAAGAAACTTACATGAATAATATACAGGATAGCTCCTTTAGAAGACTAGGACGGTGTCTTTTGAAAATGCAGAAGAATGAACAGAATAATTTACACCTCACTGAAACAGACATTAAACATAAATTACAAAATTGTGTTTTGTTGCTTGGATTACTTGAGGAATATTATTAGATAAATAAATAAATAAAAAAAAATAGAAGACCTGCTTAAATGCATGGGTCCTAGATAAACACATTAAAAATCTTGAAGCAATTGAAAAATCATGGTCTAAAGTAGATTTTGACAGAGGGTGGATGAGTGCGAGAAATAATAAGAGCACGAAATACGTGAAAGACTGTAATCTATCAAGTATCGCAAAAACAGGCTACATGAATGTGAACGAACAACGAGAAGTATAGAACAGAGAGAGATACAAACAGGCAAGGAAGAGCCCGCCAATCAGAGAGCGGCGTTGAAGCTACCAACCTAAGAAAGTAGAATTACCCTACTTCAATAGATTTCAACACAACAATATGGTGGGAACTTAACTTGCATCAACTTTAAACTAAATAAAGAACACTTCAGAATTCTTTTCTCAAGAAGTTATATGTATTAGAGAAAAGACACATTAGTTTGCATGATAACGAACCAATTTTTTTTTTTATTTAAACCTTTTGCACTGTCACAGATATAAATTTGTTCATTTTTGATAATTTACAAATGAATGTTTCAATTTCACAATTCTCAAATTCCTCAGAGCAATGAGAACAATGCGAGGGAATTAATGAAGTTTGTATATTAATTTTAGAATAGATTAAAAATAAATACTCACCAAAAATATAGACGAACGCAATGCAGATCTATTCGCCTCATTTTGAATTGCGAGTATGATTTGTTATGCTCTGAAAAAAGATGAAAAACAAGGTCACAGTAAATTCATTTCCTGGATAGGTACTCAAAAGCCATGCACTAAGGTGATACAATGGACGCCTTATTTTGTGTCAAAATATGGCGTCCATCGAATCACCTTAAGAGATTTATCAAATTCTAACGGAAAGTAGAAAATAAAAAACAAGGTTCTCAAGATTTGACAATAAAGAAATTGTACGACCCTACAGCGTCTTACAACAGATTTTGCGCGCACATGATCTGTTGAACAACCTGTGGAGAGTTCCACAGAGATGAGTTGCTTTTTGAGCACCTTGTAATCTACTGGTGTTTTTTCCTCAAATTTGATTTTTCTCAGTCTCGCCTCCCTATTCCTGGTTCCTAGAGCTTGTCTTAAGTATTTTTGATATTATATCTTTTTAATTGTTCAACAATTGTTAATATCAGCAACTGAAGAAAGCATTGAAGAGCATCCTAAGGTATTTTGTGTGCAATTCTCTTAAATTTTTTCAACGACCCATCTTAAATTTTACCTGTGAGTTGAGCTGCTTAAAATTTGATTTGAAAATTCAACAATAAATCGAGTATGTAAACGACTGATTGCATAAAATCATTACCATTTGACTTTTGACCGAACTTTTTTGTTTTTCCCTTTTATGCTTTTCTTGTTAGCTTATTATGTTTCGGCATAGAAGCGTCTCCAGTACGAGATTGCAAAGAATACTCACCGACGATATTAAGTGAGGGCTATGCCTTGCAATGAGGGCTTGCAGCTGCTTAAGTTGACTGACGAGAGATGTATTTGAGTCTTCCAAACTTAATATCCTTTTCTTGTATTCAGAGTTTTCTGATGAGAGGATTTCTACTTTCTTCTCTAAGGCATCCATATACTCCTTTTTCTTCCGCCGACTTTCTTGGGCAGATATCTGGAAAATGGAATAGAAATTTGAATGTACTCTACGGAAATTTTTGTATGACTTAAAATTAGTATGCGCTGTACTGATCACTAACGCCTTTATACGCTATTTTCCCTCAGGCACAAGTCAGTAAAATTTAAAGGCGCCTTTTCCAAACAATTTTTTAAATACATTTTTCATCAAATTTTCAGTGGTTTCAGACCGTTGAAAAAAAGGAGAGGGGGAACCCCCGCCCCCCCCTAATTATGCCATGAGAAAGTAAAATTTTAAGAGTTAGAAGTTTTGAAAAAGCTCTGTCACTATAGAATGAACCGGAAACCAATTTTGAAATAAAGAGCTTGATGCAAAAACGGCTTTTTTCGCCCCCCTCTGGAATTTCTTCAGACTTTGTCTATTGATTACTCATACTTGAGCGCTTCTTCTCCCAAATTTTCAGACCCCCAAAAAATTTTGAGGGGGAGCTAGGGGGGGGCGGAAGTCAAAACCTGTGAACCTCAATATCTCTCGAACGAAGAAAGATATCGAGGTCCGGTTTGGACGAAAAATCGTCTAAAATTGCATACTTTAAGATTCTAAAGGTCAAAATCCCGATATCACATTTTGAAGTCAACATATGTGCTTTTTTCCACTTTTTGGGTCTGAAAAATTTCTTTTCAACGAAAATTTTACAAAGATCTCAATGTTTTATTTGAACCAAAACCAGTTTTTTAAATTGTTCGTCTTTTTCCGCATCCAACGAGTGGTCCATTAAGCTGGAGAACCAAACGGTTCCGGAGTTATGATCGGTTGAAGTTTCCGCTCAACGCGCGCCGACCGATTTTCGCGCGCAAAAAAGTAGGATTTCACTGTTATTAAATCAGATTGAATGTTCAAACTGAGCAAAATGCAATATTAGGGACTCTTGAGGGTCGCTGAGTTCAGAAATCATAGATGCTTCCAAAAAATTCACGTTTTTAAAATTACAGCTCCGTAGCGCTATTTTAGAGGCCCACTGAGCGCCGACCGGCCGCTCAGTGGTCCTGTACGGAGCTGTAATTTTAAAAACGTGAATTTTTTGGAAGCATCTATGATTTCTGAACTCAGCGACCCTCAAGAGTCCCTAATATTGCATTTTGCTAAGTTTGAACATTCAATCTGATTTAATAACAGTGAAATCCTACTTTTTTGCGCGCTAAAATCGGTCGGCGCGCGTTGAGCGGGAACTTCAACCGATCATAAATCCGGAACCGTTTGGTTCTCCAGCTTAATGGACCACTCGTTGGATGCGGAAAAAGACGAACAATTTAAAAAACTGGTTTTGGTTCAAATAAAAAATTGAGATCTTTGTAAAATTTTCGTTGAAAAGAAATTTTTCAGACCCAAAAAGTGGAAAAAAGCACATATGTTGACTTAAAAATGTGATATCGAGATTTTGACCTTTAGAATCTTAAAGTATGCAATTTTAGACGATTTTTCGTCCAAACCGGACCTCGATATCTTTCTTCGTTCGAGAGATATCGAGGTTCACAGGTTTTGACTTCCGCCCCCCCTAGCTCCCCCCCAAAATTTTTTGGGGGTCTGAAAATTTGGGAGAAGAGGCGCTCAAGTATGAGTAATCAATAGACAAAGTCTGAAGAAATTCCAGAGGGGGGCGAAAAAAGCCGTTTTTGCATCAAGCTCTTTATAATTGGTTTCATATTTATATTTACATGCTTGGTGATGACTTTTAATAAACTGTTCGGTCATGGTAAATTAGATATCAGGTGTAGATATAATGAAACAGGAGCCGTTAGGTAGGAAGTGGTGAAAATAGAATTGTTAAAACCATGACCAATTTTGGTCAGATGAGTAGGTACAGTTTTGTGACGAGTTGCGAAAGAACATGAGTCTATATGCACGAATCTGACACCCAATAAAATGGACGTTGATGCTAATAAGTTTCGGATAACTTACTTTGTTTTTAATTTTTCGCCTAATTTTCTTTAGGGATTTTTCTTCAGCTTTCGTCAAAGGTAGTTTGGTCGGAATTGGGTAGCCTTCTGCTAGCAAGGTTCTTTTCTCCTCGTCTGTCAGGATTAGCAGACCAGTGGAACCTTTCTGTAATGTGAAGGAATAAACGATTGCATTAATTGATGGGCCAACAATAATTAAGATAAACCAATGTAGGAATAGAGCTGAGAGCATTTAACAAAATTTTTAAATTGAGCTATAATTACAATACGAGTTTTGAAATGAATTCTTCATATGTTTTTGGCCAAACAAATTGAAACGTTTGTCTAATAATAATTACATTCTTGTCTAATGTTTGATGAGTATTTTAAAATAAGTTTCTTCAATCATTCTTAAATAGCTTAGTTTCGGAGTAACAGCGATTTTCGATTTTTCGCGATTTTCAATTACCCGCGAATTTCTTGTTTCCGCAGTAGCTCCGATTCCAATTACTGCAGATAATCGAAACTCTTCTGTACACGTTTTTGCGGACCTCGCATTTAACAAAATTGTCAAACTAAGCGAATAACAATATAAATTATTAAGTAAATGCTTCATATATTTTGCTCAAACAAATTGAAAAGTTTGTCTGATGATTATACCTCCAATGTTTGATGAGTACTTTGAAATACAGTTTCTTCAATCATGTCTCCTTACTTAGCTTAGTTTCAGATCGACAGCGATTTTCGACTATCCACGATTTTCGACTATCCACGATTTTCGATTATCCGCGATTTTTGATTATCCGCGATTTTCTTGTATCCACAGTAGCTCCGGTTCGAATTACCGCAGATAATCGAAATTCTTCAGTACAAGTTCTTGCGACTTTCGCATTTAAACAAAATTGTCATAGTAAGCGAATAACAATCAATTTTAAAGTAAATGCTTCATATATTTCGCTCAAACATATTGAAAAGTGTGTCTAATGATTACATCTCTGTCTAATGTTAAATGAGTATTACATCTCTGTCTAATGTTTAATGAGTATTTTAAAATAAAGTTTCTTCAATCATTTCTCCTTAAATAGCTTAATTTCGGAGTAACAGCGATTTTTGATTAATGGCGATATTTGATTATCCGCGATTTTCAATTATCCGCGATTTTCTACAATCCGCAGAAGCTCCGTCCAAATTACCGCAGATAATCGAACCTCTGCTGTACACGTATTTGCGTCTTTCACAATGGATACCTTCCAATACAGATAAACTTCTATTGCTAAGTGGATTGCATTTTGCAGAAAGGAACCACTAGCATTGCAATGTTGCTAAGATTGTGCAACTTGTCTTGAAGGGAAACCCCGATTATCCCTTAAAAGTTTCTATTTCACTTGCTAAAAACTGTAAATTTAAGACAAAAATTACCATCTAAATTTCATAGTTTTTCACAATTCCCGCAATTTTGTTGCAAAGGATGAAGTCGCACAATCTTAGCATTATTGCAATGCTAGTGGTTCCTTTTGGCAAAATGCAATCCAAGTGATGTTTTAATTTATTAATCATTTACCGGTTGACAACTGATGAGAGGTGTCTGGATGGGCTGCCGCGTGGAGTGAAGGGTTCCGTGCGTGGTGAGATAGATCGGTCTGGCGCTGGCCGGAGACGATGGATGGTCCGGGGAGACGTTGCCTTCGCTGTCACTTGACGTCGAGGATGGTGGAGTTGGCGGAAGAGAGAACCCTGCAAGAAACAAGTTCAAATTAGAAAAAAAGAGGATAAACACTGAAAAAAATTTTTCGGCGTTTTTACCAAGGTCCGATGGTACCTTTACCATCTCACTTTTTTTACCAATTATTGGTAATTTTACCAGGACAGACTGGTAAGCTTACCTAAAAACCGGTATTTTTACTGTATTTTTCAGGTAAGAATACGACTTTCATTGGTAATAAATTCCCGGTAACTTTGCCATTTTATCTCGGCAATTCTACCACAGTCGATAAAAAATATTGGCGTTTTTACCAAGGTCCAGTAAAATTACCGAGAAAGTTCGATAATTTTACTGAGATTTCTCGGTACAATTACCAATTCCATTAATGGTAATTTTACCAAGAAAAAACTGGGATCAAATAGAACCCTGAATTCTTGGTAATTTTACCCTTTTCTTAGTAAATACACCGAGATTTTTTTTTTTTCAGTGAATGGAGAAAAAAAGGGGATGGGAATAAAGGCGGAGGAATCAGGACCCTCGCGCTATCACTGAGCATCCGTGAAAGAGGGACGAATAACGAGGAGAGCATTGGAAACGCGAGCGGCCGCGAGAGTGCCTTCATATCTTTGATTATGCAACGCGCACGTCCACCGGGTACGAGTAGTTGTATCCGGGAGTTGTCGTCAATGCTGTCGTGCTAAGGAAGAACGCCGTATGAACATTCGAGAGTAGCCAAAATTCCTTCGATAAAATGTTTATTTTTGAGGAAAGTTATGAATATTTGTCCTTGAAATTTTCAGGAACTTCAGGTAAACTTGCGAGCAAAAATATATCTGAAAAATTGGAAGGGAAATATTCATAAGTTTACGAGGAGATTCATGTTTTATCAAAGGAAATTTGGCAACGCCTGGAAGTTCATACGGCGTTTTTCCTTAGCACGGCAGAATGGTGCACACTAATTGCCGCGCTATCGAAGGAGGGCCGGCGTGAAAGCATTGGATTGGGGCGAAATTACCGCTGTTAAAATATTAATTGTTGGTTGATAAGTAGAGGGGCTTGGCTTGGAGGACAGGGCGCACCTGTGAAGTTTTCGAAAAAATTAAGACGTTCATGAACTCAACTAAAACTAGTCGGAAAGTTATTCTGTGAAAAACTCACAACTAAAATCCGACTTTAAAGCATCAAGAAGTGAATTTAAAATTCCTTTCCGCCATACGGTTCCATGTAATTCTGAAACTTTAAATGCGTATTTCTGGAAATAGCAAAAACTGCACTTATGCGCCTTGTCCTCCAAACCTCTCAAAATATTTATTTGTATCAAGTTTAAGGTATTTAAAGGTACCCTAAAAGTACAAAGTCATTGACACCTTGGAAAAGAGAAATCAATAGAAATGTGCGATAGATTAAAAAAGACAAGAGTAGAATAAATTTGGAGCTTAAATTGTTTAAAAGAGGGGTAGATTGTGTGAAGAAACGCCGAAAATTTACTTGCGTGCAACGTGAAGGGTAGCTTTCTTTCAAATTTGTTTAATTATTAGACGATTGCGAGTATTTTTCAAAAGTGTCAAAGAAATTCATGAGTCTTCCGAAGAATTTGATTTTCATTGGGAGAAATTTGCCGACGTTCAAATTGTTAAATGTCTCTTTTCCTTAGCACAGCAAGATACCTTATCAAAGTTCCTAGTTGCTAGCATTTGTGTTTCAGACCTTTGTCCTGTAAATTCTGGTTAAAGGTTGGCAAAAATCAAAGTCTAATCTCTAATACTATTGGGAGAATAACTTGCGGGACCAACTAACCTGATGATCCAGTTTCTACTTTGATACCGGAGATGGACACTCGGTGACCGTGCTGGTTCAAAAGATTCGCTCTCGTTGCCAATAGCAATGCTGTTGCGGGTTGCTTCATAATGTTTGCGCTTGGCTGGGGATAAAAACATATTAAAATTAAGACAAGGAAAAACCAAAGATGTGCCAAAAATTAAAACACGTGTGATGATAGACTTAATTTTTGAATACCAACATGTAGGTACACAAGGTACGAATTACTCAGTTGCTAGCATAATCAACTTTATTCAATATTCAATAACATTATTGTATATAATACTGTTCCTAAAAATTTACAATTATCTAATAATAATAATAATTAAAGGGCTCAAGCGCCAAAAATGAGAATTCGAAAAAAATGGTAATAACCGTTTTGATCAACCCTTTCTAACTGTCAGAGCTCTAAAATATGAAAGCGACGAATTGATTGATCACATTATTAATTGAAATGCATTTTGCAATTTGGAACTATAAATTCTAGCCCGGTTTAAAAACAACATACAGTAGTCTCTGGATTATCCGGATTAATTGGTGCCGGGCCCGATCCGGAAGAAAAAGAAATCCGGATAATAATAGTAAACACAAACACCACCAACCAACACCACAGTATTCTTATTATGTATACATCATGTGCATACCAACACGAATTTAAAATGTTAACGCCAAACTGAACGACTCAATGGTGATTGAGAATGGTAGCCGACAACGATAAATTACAATACAACGATTAAAGCGCGCAATGCGTGAAGTATTCATGCAGTCTTGCAGCCGCTAATGTGCGCTTTAGGCTAACTAACCGACTGCACTGCGTTTGGCGTAATGCGAGAAGTATTCATGCAATCTAGTAGGCGCTAATGCGTTCCACGCCGACCTCACTGTTTGGCGCAATGCGTGAAGTCCGCTCACTTATCGGAATGCGTACGTAGTTACATGGTTGCAAAATTGATCCGGATAATTCAGAGTCCGGATAATACGAAGCCGGATAATCCAGAGTCTACTGTATGTGCCATTAGTTTCCCTATCCACATAAGTGTTTCTTCAGATGAGCCAGAGTTCCAAATTGCAAAATGCAGTCCGATTAATCTGCAATTTAAAACGGGTTGGTTCATACACTTTCTGTTGTTTCTTTCATACTTTAATATCTGGCGCTTGAGCCCTTTTGTAACTGACCGATTCAATTACGGTCAAGCGATCCCCAAAGTTAATGAGGCATCGTCCCCGAGTTTGCTAGAATGAAACAGACAAAAAGAAAATGATTGAAAGTTGAGAGGTCTTACTTTTTCTTCGTAATCGTGCATGGATTGCGGCGAGGAGGGACAGGAGGACACGGGGGAGTCCGGCTCTTGGTCGCTCATGGGCTCATCTTTGACAACGATGATTGGTGAGTCCGGACTCTCATCTTGCGAGCTGCTCCGTCTTCTTTTCGCCACGCAGTTGAGTGGAAGGGCGCGGTAGCATTCGTCTTCCAGATCTGTTAACATAAAAATTTCATAGTCCATCAATTTCGTTGCACAATCACTTTAAATTAGCAAAAATGGCATCAAGGAACATGCACTGGAAAAAAAAAAAAAACACATTAGATCTAGAGTCCAGACTCATGAAAACATTGACAAGAAAAAATACTCTTGATTCAATCAGATTTAGGCTTAAATCAAAAGGCAATCCGCTCAAATTAAGAGGGTTGGTTCTTGATTTAAGCTTAAATCTGATTGAATCAAGAGTATTTTTTCTTGTCTATGTTTTTAAGAATCTGGACTCTACATTCAATGTGTTTTTTTTTTCCAGTGTGGATTTAGAATGGAGAAAATGGATTTGAAGTTCCGATCCTCTGTAAAAGAGTGTGCAATAGGATGTTTATATTAAAAAATTTTGAAAAACTACCTTAACATGGTGTTTCATAAATAAAACAACATGCAAAACAACGCAAGCTGCCTGATCTGAACACTCCCCCCCCCTCAGTTTTTACTGGTACTCGTTAGAGCTCAAAATTTTTTTACTCAAATTGGAATTTTTGGAACTTTTTGGCTTTCGTTTCCCCGCGAAATGATAAGGACCCGGCACCATTTCACCACCTCGTTACATACAGTTTGGGCAATTTCTCAGTGTTTCTTCTTAAAAACAACATGTTAAGGTAATTTTTCAAAATGTTTCACATAAACATTCTCCTGCACACTGTTCTTTATGCATAGCCTGGGATCACATATCATTGGAGAAAAAATCGACTAAAAGCTCATTATTCGTTTCTTTTATTTCTAAAACGAAGGGTGAATTGGTTTGAGTACCAAAACCATGAATTAATATTTTACAACATTTTAGCTCAATTCAAACATTTTCTGCAAATATTGACCTAATGAAATAATATTGCATACATCATTCTCACTCAACTATGAATGAAAATTCCTCCAATTTCGATAGTACGTAATCCGACAACCTCGGCTGTCACGAAATTAGCCGCTGATTTTACCCCTCCCCCTTCCCCTCACCCATTTGGCCCGAGCGGGGCTGAGGGAAGGTTGTTTCGTTAACAAATGCAACAGTTTCATAAATTAGCATTAATAAGCAATAATTATTAATTATCGCGCGGAGGAGCAGCAGCAGGGGGGAAGGGGGTGGGCAAAAGAAAGCGCAAGGCGCTTTGCAGACAGATAACCCCTCAACAAGGTTGCCATTTAATTGATAATTCTAAGTTAAAGCGAAGAGATTCGCTTTAAAATGTATGATTTTCGTGTTGAGGACCTCTTTTAAGAGATGCATGAACGCAAGCGCGAAAAAAAAATCGCGAAAAATATACGAGAAAGAGAAGTTTTTATAAGATTTTTCTGACAGGCTTTGATGTGTGTAAACTTTGTTGAGATAGATACATCAGTGTAGCCGATTAGCTTCGAATGATTCGAACTTATTCCATCCACCGAAATCGAAACTTCATTATTTTTAGGTTTAAAAATCTCCAATCCTTTCAAATTTCAAGTTCTATTCGTATGTTTTTTTTCCCGGATTTTCAATTTCGAAATAATTTCCATGACCTCGTTTATTGAGTGTGTTTCTATGCCATGTGTATTTTACTCAAATTTTCACCGAATAACTTTCAAATGGCATTCAAAAAGTCGCGCATCACCAGCGGAGAAAATTTTGTCGGAGAAAGAATAGAAAGTGTCGCGAACGAGGAAGGGTCAGATAACCACCGCAATAACCGAGTTTGCTTTGATAACCTATTTTATTAAAAGTTGTCTCGTCTGTTTTCCTGCATTTAATTTTTTTTTGCCTCAATTATCTTATTCACTCGTAACTCGGCCTGGCCACAATGAATTTATCGGCGGCATGAAAGGATTCCTCTCGAGAGTGAGTGACAGGAAAACAAGAAACTGGAGATTTTCGCAAAGTAGGCGGTGGAGTGCATGTGGCTCGAGAAGGCCGGGGAATAATTGTTTACCCAAAGAGAGANGGGGGGGGGGGGGGGGGAGAGAGCGAGAGAGGGAGAGAGACACTGCGGGTGTATTGGAGCCGAAAAACAATTTTCCGAGTCAAGCCGCGGATCGAATGCAAACTGCGTCGCAATAAACCGCAAAACCATTTTCGAAAACGCATAAACGGAGGCGCGGGACTTTATTGGTGCAGTGGTGCAGCGAATGTGGCACAACTGCAGTCGGCGGTGCAGTGTGCACACACGCCATGGCCGGCATGCGGCACCGAGTTGCGATCGAGTGCCTCGAGGCGCCGCGCCGCGTGCCGCTGTCTCAAGCTCCCTCAACAGTCGATACAAAACAACTTAAATTCGAGTCATATTCGTGAAGGTCTCTTCTGGGTACTTGGAGATTTTCTTGAGTTCAGAGACAACACTGAGAAAAAAAGTTCGGTCATTTGAACCGAATGTACGATGTTACAGGCCGTAATGTTCGGTTCATGCGACCCCGCTTTATCAGTTCTCGAAAGCGTATACTCGGTTCATGCAACCGAGCTTTTTCGTTAGTTCTGTTCGGTTTGAATGTTCGGTTGCATGAACCGAGGATGTACGGTCCCTAAAACCGAAAGAGCAGTTACATGAACCGAAAAATACGGCCAATATTGAGCACCGTGCATTTGGTTCATATGACCGCAGTTTATTTCTCAGTCAATACCTCAAAAATAAAATTTCACCCTCGAAAATGCCTTAGGTATATAAGAAGTGTTTTTCGGACGCAAATGAAGTAAATGCCACTGCACAGTGGGAAAAACAGCCGATCTAGCGCCGAAAAAGTCTTGACGCGCGGGGCGTTCACTTTCCCATTGATTTTTCACACTTAATCGGTCTTATATATCTAATCATACACTAATAATAGCATAATGCGCCGATTTTTTGTAAATTGAAGAGTTATTGAGCCAAATTTAGTCATGGGATTAGCTATAATTTACTTTCCTTGAGACTGTTTTGGCTTGTGGTATTTGATTAGCCAGTAGAGTAAAATAAAAGATTTCTCGTCGTTTATGCTATTGTCGGTTACTTTTTTCATTATCCTGTGCAAGTATCTTATGTCCCACCTTTTTTTTGGAAAAGTTTGTGTGCCTATGCTTTAGTGTTTCATGGTGAAGTTATGAGTAAGAATGAATTTAATCCGCATCGTATTACTAAAGATGTGAATATAGATAAGATTGACATAGTAGGTAAATGGCATGTATTCAATATTAAGAGCAAATGAGAAGAAAAATCACACTTGAAATTTTAAATTTCCTAAAAAAAAAAACCGTTGCACAGAGGAACAGCTATTACCAATCAACGGATAATTGCGTTTCCTATTTTTTTTCTCATTCCTGTTAAGATAAAAATTAAGTTCCGAACATTTAATTTACCATAAAGTGTTCTAAAATAGGAAATGTAATAGTGGAAATCCATATTCTCATTTTACCAATACACATTATTTTCATAAAGGTAAAGTGAAGTATGTCATTATTCGGAAATGTTAGCAATTAATTCCTTTCGCTCAATGCATCTAATGTTTTTCTCCTCAAGACTTAATGTGAAGTAAAACCGTTTTTTAAGTGCAGCAAGTGTCAAGTAAAACTGAAAATATGCACGGAGTTAATTAATAAATTTTCTCCTCCGGGCAGGATCGAACTCACAACATTCAAAATAGGAATGAGTGATCCTACCAATTAGGCTATCGCTTCAGCTCTGCTGAGTGAGCTGAAACAGTTGTTTATAAGCACTCGTTGCCTGAGTTGCGCGCGCAGCGCACTGCGCACGCACTCTCCCCATGCGTCTCTGTGATCTGACGCCAAACCCAACGGTTCACATTCATTCTGAGCACATGTCCAGACTTTGATTTCATCGAATTTCTCTAAAAGGCTCACGAAGGCTGGTTTCAACCAAGGATTTTTGTAATCTTGATAGTATGACGAGTACGTAGATGTAAATATCTCCGTGAATCTGTGCGAATCTTGGAAGATGCAGTCTTTAGAAGTTTGAATTTGTGACTTCTTCGGAGGCTAACTTTAAAAAATTGCTGTAGATCAAAACAGTGTATATAAGAGACGAAAATGGTATCCTTACTTTTAGAACGGTCAGTTATTGTAAAAAAAAATAAAAAGTAACTACATGACGCACTTCAACATACACACGAGCCTACTGAACGTACACTCTCAGAGGCGGTCCTCCACCAGCACTGCGCTATCCGGTGCGTTTCTAATGATTATCATTGATAAAATCGACCGTATGAAGTAAAACATGACTGATCCTTGATCAGTAGATCCTCAGGAACACATACATACCAATTTTGGCCATTTTCATTGATGTCGATTTTCCGACTTTTTCGGCGCTAGATCGGCTGTTTTTCCCACTGTGCACTGGGTGGGCTAGGAGTTCTCAGAAATGTTGAAAAAAAAATTTTGCCCTCCCATTTCCCTCACTGGAACAAAAATAACTTGTACTTGCCATCAAATGAATTTCCTCTTTGATCAAGAATAAAAATCGCTTGGATCAGGCAGATTTCTGCTTGATGTGGTGATTTTTTTTCTTGCTCGTATTCATGCATCTCATTTGTTTGATTCTGGAAAGATAATATCTGGCAGCAAATTTGAAAATATTTCAGCTCATTCAGCGCAAGCCATTATTTCCTGAGTTGGGGAAGCAACGCTCCTTTAGATTACGAACATAAAACATTACTGGAGGGACCAAGGTTTTTTTTATTTTTTGAAATCCGAATCAAGAGGATCAACATTCTCGATTCGCGTTGATGACGTCACGAAGGCGACCTTTAACGAGCGGCGGGGCTTGAACGTGGAACCACGAAGTCGAGAGGTTTATCGAAAGAAAGAGAAAGTACAAGAGGAGGAGGAGATTGAGCGACTTTGAAGCACCAAACAAATCTGCCAGGGCACCCGAAGGGCGGGAGGGAGGGGGGGTGTTGCACTAGGCGACCCACATACGGAGAGGCTGAGGCAGTTTTCCTGGCCGGGCATTAATCATGGGTATTAACGACGCATTCATGAATACATCAT